ATGGCTAAAAGTGGAAATAATAATTTCTGTTGACTGACGAATAAATAAAATATTCATTACATATTCTAGAAAGGAGTATTATTCAGCAATAAGAAGCAATTAAGTATTGATGCATACTACAGCATGGATGAACCTTTAAAATATTATGCTAATAAAAGTAGCCAGACAAAATTACATACCCTATAACTATATTTAAATGAAATGTCTAGAAAAAAGTCTCTCAAGATAAATATAATTATTATGTATCACAAACAAAATAAAAATAAATTAAAACTCTTAGGTTAAAAAAGAAAAGTTACTTTGCCACTGTATATTTACAACACATAATACTTACATTTGTTATGGTGTATTAGTACATGCATATAATGTATCTTATTTTCTTACACTTTTCTCTCTCTTACCTCCCTTCTCCACTCCCTACCCCATCCCCCAAAAGTCTGCCCTCTTGTTTCCTGCCATCTCTCCTTTATTTTACTCATTTATTTAGGGTTTTATAAGAGAGTATATGTAGTCTACAAATCTCCAACACTTTTTTATTAAAATGGTAATGATACTGGGCATGGTGGGACATGCTGATAATCCTAGCCCTCTAGAAGCTTAGGCAGAATGATTGCCTTGAGATCAAAGCCAGCATGGGATACACAGTGAGTTATAGACCATCTTGAACTATATAGCAAGACCCTGTTTCAAAAATTTTTTCATTTAATTAAAAAACAAAATGATAATGATTTTTAATATAATATTAAATTCATAATTATTTCTGTTCACCAGCATGGAAGCCAATAAAACTAAGTCAAACCTATAAACATAAAAAAGAAAGGACAGTCAGGTATGGTGGCACACACCTGTAATTGCAGCACATGGGAGGCTGAGGCAGAAGAGTTTCTGTGAGTTTGAGGTCAGGGGTTACATAGTGATTTCAAGGCCAACCTGAACTACATAAGAGACCTTAGCTCAAAAAAAAAAAAAAAGAAAAATCTATAAAGGAATTAAAGCAGATTAATAGCTGCCAAGGGCTAGGAAGGAAAGCAGAGATTGACCAAAAAAAGGAATGTTGTCAATTTTATTGGGTTGATGGAAGTGTAAATCAGAATTGCGTTGATGTTTGCACATTTATAATTTGCTAAAATTACTGAATTATACACACATAAACGCATTAGGGCAAGGTGTGTTTGAAAAATACAATAAATAATAATAGCATATTCAGAAAGAGGAAAACATAAAAATATAGAAAAAGGACTATTTGACAATAGTAGGGATACATTTCTCAGAATTTAAAGATTTAGTTAGTTTAAAGTGATAGGGCTATGAAACAAATTACTTGCACCTAGACACATTGTATTAAAATATAGAAATACTAGGGGCCGAGGATTTAGCTCAGCGTTCGGTGGCCTGCCTCGCAAGCGCAAGGACCCAAGTTCGATCCCTGGTACCACCAAAAAAATAATAATAATAATAAATGAAATAAAATAAAATATAGAAATACTGTACAAGAGAAAATTCTTAAAGCTTCTTAAGAAAAGTTCTATTTCATACAAGTGAAGAAGCATCAAGTTAATATCTGAATTTTCAATAGTAGCATTCTGTACAAGACAAAAAAGAAGTAATATTTTGAAAGTATTGAAGTAAAACTATTTTGAACCTAGAATTATATATCCACTTAAATGAGAGTATAAGCTTGCCAAGCTTTGCCTCACAAAGACTCACATTGAAATCATTTGAGAGAAAATATTTCAGAAGAAAAAGAAATCTGAGAACTGTTGCAAAGGATATAAAAAGTAAAGGTGATAAGAACTTGGTAAAGGTGCTGTCTTAATGAATCTAGGACTGAAAAAGTGGGAGAGGATATATACACAACAATACAAACTTTAAATTCTGTTCAAAATCATGCTTATTATGTTCTCTGATCACAAAACAATTACTTTAGGCATTAAAAGCAAAAACATAAGTTAAAAATAACCCAAAACTTTCAAATAAAGATATTTTACTAAATAATTATTGAGTCAAATAATCATTATTAATATATAAAATAACCAGAACTAAATTAAAATTAAAATATCAGCAAAATATTTCACAAAAATTTAGCAAAAGTTTTAATTGAGAACAATTTTATAACCTTAATATTTATATGAAAAAGAAAGAAGGGCTGAAAATTACTTAGTGAATTTATCATTTTAGTTAGAAGACTAACACACTAAACTCCAAGAAAGATACACTTAAGAACAGAAATCAATTAACTACAAAACAATGGTAAAACCGAGAACCATAAAACAAAACTTAGTTTAAAAAAAAACAACAAAATAGAATAATCTCTGAAAAGATTGCCAAGAAAAAAGAAACAGCAAGACCAAATAACATTATAAATGAAAAAGTAATGTAACCACAGATAAAACAATCTGAAATAGTAATATCAATGCTTATTTTGAAAACAAAATTTGGAAAACTTACATGAAGAATGAATTTCTAAAAAAAATTTAATTTGTGAAAACTGAATCAAGAAGCTTTGGCAAGAAGTACTGGGGATTGAACTCAGGTTTTTTTGCTGAGTTATGTTGCCAGCTCTTTTTCATATTTAATTTTGAGACAGAGTCTTGCTAAGTCTCTTAAATTGCCTTGGCTGGACTCAAACTAGTCATCCTCTTGCCTCATTCTCCCAGAGTGCTGGGATTATAGGTATGAGACACCTATAAATTGACCAGGAAGAAGCAACTTTTTAAAACGTGAAACTTTCTGACATGATTAAGAAAACTGAAAGCATACTGATTTTTTCATGCAGAAAATTTTAAGCCTAGATGACTTTGTAGCAAACTCTATGAAATTTTCAAGGAAATTATCCTAAGCACTACAAAATCATTTTACCAGTACAATATACATAGCATAAATTTATCATTTTACTTATTTGAAATGTATAGTTCTATGGAGTACATTACATTCACATTGTTGTACAGCCATCACCAGCATCCATCACCAGAAGTTTGTTCATTTTTCCCAACTGAAAGTCTGTATTCATCAAATGTTAAGTTGTTATCATTTGTCTTTTGGTAATAGCCAATCCAACAAGCAATGAAATGATAGTTCATTATGGCTTTAATTTGCATTTCACTGAAGATTAGTGTCCTTGAACATTTTTAATATACTGGTTGGATAGTTGTATGTCTTCTTTTGAGAAGTAAGTGTCTGTTCTGGTTCTTTTCTTTTCTCTGAGTTTATTGGTACTTTTTAGGTATACAGTACAGTTACATTCATCATTGGGATCTTGTACCTTTACGTGACAGGTCTTGGTTCTCATTTTTTCCCCATATCCCTGCCCTCCCTTCATGCCTTCCTCCCTTCCCTATTTACAAAATCTTTGTTTCCCTTTTTCCCTTTTCTCTTATTTTTTCTTTTCCCTTATTTACTTTCCCCTACTCTTCCCACTTTCCTACACTATTAGCCCTTTTCTTTCTATTTCACATTGTCAATTATACCATTTGGATCTTATTTACACTTTGTTTTTCACCCCAGAGAAACTATTTGGTATTTACACATGTGACTTATTTATTTCACTTAAGAATATGACCTCAGTATACATCTCTATTTTCCTATGAATGACTCTAATTTCTCATTCTTTATGGCTGAGTAGTATTCAATTTTATAGAAAAACCACTTCTTTATCCAGTCTCCAGTTGATGGGCAATTGAGCCATTTCCAAGTTTTAGTTATTACAAACTGTGCTGCTATAAACATGGGTGTGCATATATCACTGTGGTTTGATTCTTTTAATTCTTTGGAAAGATACCCAGCAGAGGAATAGCTGGGTCAAATGGAACCTCTAACCCTAGTCCTTTGAGGAATCTCCATACTGATTTCCACACTTGTTGCACCGGTCTGCACTGCCACCAACAATGGAGAAGGGTTCCTTTCTTTCCACATCCCTGCCTTAAATTGGTTGATTTTTTGATGGCAGCCATTCTTTGTGGGATGAGGTGGAATCTCAGTATTGTTTTCATCTGCATCTCTCAAATGACTAGTGATGTTGAACATTTTTCATATATTTATTTGCTGCTTTTACTTATTTGAGAAATATCTGTTCATTTCAGATGCCCATTTTTGAATTGGGACTTTATATTTGGGGGGCCTGGTTTTTTTGAGTTCTGTATATATTCTAGATAGTAGTCCTTTGTCTGAGGAGAAGCTGGTAAAAATTTTTTCATACATTGTAGTTTGTCTCTTAGCTCTGTTGGTAGTTTCTTTTGCAGTGCAGAAACTTTTTAATAAGATGAGATCCCAGTTGTTGATTCTTTGTGCTAGTTCCCCTGATACTGAGGATTTGTTCATAAAATCTTTTCCTATGCCAATGTCATCGAGGGTTCTGCTTAATTTATCTTCCAGCAAATTTAGTGTCTCTTTTTTAATATTTAGATCTTTAATCCACTTGGATTTTAGTTTAGTGTATGGTGAATGATAAGGGTCTAGTTTTAATCTTTGGCAGGTTGAGATCCAGTTTTTCCAACACCATTTATTAAAGAGGCTATCTTTTCTCCACTGAGGATGGTTGGCTCCTTTGTCAAAGATGAGATAGCTCAGTGCATGTGGAGTTGTTTCTGTTCTTTCCTTATTTTTTATTAGGTTGTTTTCTTGTTATTGACACAGATACACATAGACTCCCAAAGTTTTAAGATATTAATTTAAGTATATTGTGCAAAGTGTATCTCCATACAGATTGGAGAGATAGGAATTGTATTCAGATCTGTATGATTCCAAATTCCACGTTTCTCCCACAAAGCAAGCACTGATAGGAAAGAAACTCTACCCTCCACTCCCAGCCACTGTCTATTCTTCTGAATATGTAATTCATGTTGACTGGAGGAGAAAAGAGAAAAACCCATGGATGGGCTGCTTTTTAGATATTTTTATCTGATTTCCAGGTATTTATGAAAGAAAGTGGGTTTTCAAGAGAAAAGACTTCTGGGAAAGACATACAAGTAAACCAAACCACTGATTTTTCTCTCCTTTCTTAGAATTCCTTGGAAGAGACTGAAGGTGATGAGGATTTAGTGTCTTCTCAGTTTTCTGCAAACACCTGCAGTCTGGCAAGTGGCCTGTCAACTGTAAGCAATCTTCTAACACATGTGGAAATTTCCATTTTCTTTTATTAATTTTCTGTGCCTTTCCAGAAGAGATATGAATGCTTTTGATAAAATATGTGAGATGGGGTAAAACAGCCTTTGTAGGTTCTTTCTTACCCTTTTCCACAGAGTACTCTTCAACCTAATTTGGTGTGGACCTTTTCTAAGGCCTCCGATTTCTACCTTCTTTCTTCCATGGTCCTTGCCCAGGTTTTTAAATCTCTTCATTTCTATCTCATGAAGTACTAGAAGAAAGGAGTTTGAATGCAACCAACACAAAGAAATATTATGTGTTTATAGAGAAGGAAATGGTAGTTACCCAGATTTGCATATTATGCATTGGGTAACATGTATTAAATTACCAAACAATGCCCTATAAATATATACAATCATGTGTCAATTTTTAAAATATCTTCATTTCCTGTTTTAGGCCTCAATAAGCTCAAGCCTCTAAATTAATTCAATTATCAGCTGATAAGCTTCCCTGAAACCATTATTTCAATACCCACCTATCTATACTACTGCTCAAATTTTTTCTAAAACGCATACCCAGTCAGGTTGCTCTTCAATTTAGAAACTCTCCATAGCTTCCCATTGCCTACAGAATAAAGTACTTTCTTACTTTAGAAGCCAAGGTCCTCCCTGAGAGGAAGACTTTAGGAACCTCTCTTAGCCACATTCTTGTCAGTGGGACAAAACACCAAACACTAACAATTTAAGGAAGTAGAAGTTTGTTTTGGCTCACTTTCACTCCATAGTCAGCAGGCTCAAACACAGAAATTGCATGGTGGAAGGGCCTGTGCAAAGGAAAGCTGCTCACCTCATGCTGGCCAGAAAGGAGAGAGAGAAGGAAGAAATCAAGAGGGAGATATATGTTTCTAGGTCACTTTCCCAGTGAGCCAGCTCTTCTGACAAGACCCCAACTCTTAACAGCAAGTAAACTCTATTTCCTCTGTGATTTAGTCACCTTTCAAAAGCCCCACCTATGAATACATGAGATCTTTGAAGGACATTCTTGATCTAAAACATAACATCCAACCCTGGACTAAAAATATTCGTGCACATCTCTTTACACAAAAATATATTTAGTCCATTGCTAAGAGTCACTAAATTCTTAACAATTTTTGTATTGCTGAAAAATCCAAGTTCAAAGTATCCTCTGAGACTCAAGGTAAACTTTTAGTTTGAGCCCCTATAAAAATAAAAGATAATGTTAACACTGCTAACGTACAATGACACAGGGTAGACATTCCTATTCCAAAAAGGATGCATGGGAATTAGAAATCAATGGGACCAAAACAAGACTGAAACCCAGCAAGGAAAATATTAAATCCAGTAGTTCCAGGTCAAACATCTGTGGCAGGTGGTGTGAAGATTTTTCCCTGGCCCTACAACATGGCCAGTTGTAACTCTCATGGCCTCTCTCTTGAGGTGGCTCTGCTCACTGCATTTTCAGCTTCCCTCTCACTGCTTCATATGTTTCCCTTTCAGAGGCACACTGCCTGGCTTCCCAGCCTTCTAGAATCTGTGTGGAACCTTCCAAGACACTATAACTTGCATTCTACATGCCCATAAAATCAGCACCACATACATGATGATTCCAAATTTCATGGTTCTTCCACAAAGCAAGCACTGATAGGAAAGAAACTCTGCCTTTCACCTCTAGCACCACTGTCTATTTTTATGAAGGTGTAATCTAGTTTGGAGGAAAACAGAGAAAAACCTAGGAATGAAGTGATGCCAAAGTTGAGGTTAGGCCCCCTTGGATCATGGCTGCAGAGGTGTCTGAGTGCCTGGATTGCTAAATACTATGAAATAGATCTTGGGGAAACAATTAATGAGCATCGTGTGCTGGAACTCTCTTTTTTTACCTTTGAGCCTGTGAATGACAAGGTCTTGCTGAATTCCAGGATGCCCTTAAGGCATCCTTCCTATTGTGCTGATGCAAAGTACTTGGCTTCTTTTTAGTGCTAATATTTCCAGCAACCAAGCTGCATTGGGCCATAATCTCACAGTCTCTAACATTACAGGCCCCAATTTTAAAAGAGCTTCCTTTATATCCACCAGCAATACTTTTCAAATTATTTAGTTCTGCGTGTTGGTCCTTCTTCTCATGACAGATGTGGCTAAAAGCTACCAGGAAGATCCATGCCAAAACCTCCCCATTGGCTTCCTTGAAATTTCCTCCACTGATTTAATTAGTCCATTCCCCTTAATCTCAGTCTTTTTCAGAGTTTCAGGACTTGACCAGACCTCACCTCCTCCCAGTAAGTCAGCTGTAGCACCCCTATTATCCAATCACCTTCCACAAGCTACACCTATGAAACATGAGGCCTTTGAGGATCTAAACCATAGCAAAACCCCTGTGTCCTTCTGTCTGCTCAAGTTCCCATAAGTCTTTTTCCTTGCTTTTCTGATTTCTATTGCTCTAATGCTTTTTTCTTTTGATCTCTGGATGATTTCTTTAAAGAATTCTCAAGCAGGCTCTGACAGGAAGTGGACCTACCTAAGTGTGCCTGATGCTGATTCAGACACTGTGAGTTGTCAATTCTTTTTCCTTCTTTCTAACCATACTTCACAGGTTTCAAGGATTGGTAAATTTGATTAGGTGTGCAATTCTTCGAGCATTTTGTTTAAACTTGTACACAACTGATCAGAGGTTCTTTTGAAAGGACTAAAGGGTTTTATCAGAACTCAACCATTGTATTTCATTAAATAGTAGATTCTGAGCTCAGAAGACCAGTCAAAAGACACATGATACAGAATGGTTTGCCATTAACAATGCCTTTGAAGTAAATATCTGTACTGTATGTCACAGGTTTGACTTGGTTAAAAGCATAAAGTTTGGTTAATAATAGAATTGCTAAAACTGCCTTAAACTCTCCCAGGCCTCAGCATTTGTGGATTCTTAAATCCTCTATCCATTAGGGTCCCTCTTTTACAATGGACACTCTTTGATGATGTGGCTGTAGAGACGTGCTGAAATCGCAAGTCAATCATGCAAGGATGTTGTGAGATGAGTTCGGGAGGGCCTCTTAATAGAAATCTAAAACCTCACTTTAAGTTCTGGCATTGCCAACAGTGTGAATGAGCCAGTTTTCTCCTGGGTAACACGAGAGAATTGAGGCTTATTCTTGAAGTCCTTCATAGTAAAAGCATGGTCCAGAAATTTTGCATAACCTAGGGCAAAGACTTTAAAATTTTCTTCACAGAGCCCCTAGAGCAGTGGTGATGAACCTATGACACACACATTATAGTGGACTCTTTGTATCATTGAAAGCTCTAAAAGGTTTGCCATCACTGCCCTACAGTCTTAGTAATTCTTTCATGGTACTTGTAGGCCCAAAATAACAACTGACTAGTCAATTCATTACATCATTAGGTTCAAACAGCTTAATAAATTTTTGTATCATAACAACTTCATATTTGAAAAAAATAATACAGGTAAGCTGAAATAAAAATTAAATTGTATTACTTTATTATTTACTAGTAAGATATATGTGCCTGCTGAACACTACACTGTTTCTCAAATCTTAAAATCTGATTGGACATCACTGCATTCTGATTGATTTTTGTGAAACATTTGGTTTTTGTTGAAGAAACTGGCAGTTTCTTGGGCTGAAATTTAGTATGGCAGGAAAACAAGTGACTTGCTTTCTCTCTTCATTATAGACTTCCCTGCTCATTATAAACAATAAGAATTGTAATTCAATGAAGAGGGGTGGGTTCTGTGAAGACATTTTGAAACAACAGCTGGTGCCTTCTTTCATCTTGTTTATTCCAGACCAGCCTTAACAGTATGATGAGTGTTTACAGTGAAACAGGCGACTACGGCAGTGTGAAGGTCAGCGGTGAAATCCAGCTCCACATCAGCTACTGCTACAAAACTGGCGGGCTCAACATTTTTGTCAAGAATTGCCGAAATCTGGCCATAGGTGATGAAAAGAAACAAAGGACAGATGCGTAAGCACATAGCATGTTCCTGGGGCTATTTCAAGCACTCTTTGTCATATGTTTGTTTTTGATTTGCTTTGTTTTTTTTTTTTCCAGAAGAGCCTTAGTATTCCTCTCCATTCAGAACATTTTCTGAGCATTGTCACTTTCCTCCTATACTACATGTTGAAATATTCTTTGAAGTATCTAAACAATGGCTGTGTCCTTGGTTATTCAATTTTTAAGATTCCAGTACTCAACGTGATTCAGGAATGACTAATTTGTAGTTTGCACAGAACTGCTCTTTGAGATAGAAGCTGACATATTGGCACTCAGAATTTATAAGAGTATCCTGTTGATTTTTGTTCTGGGAAATCTTCCAGAGAAAATTACCAAGCTGTGACCCAATTGTAGAAGAGCAATTATCAGGCTCTCGGGATTCTAGGGATCAGCCAGGAAGAGCATGTATTAACCATGGTTTGGAGGGGAGCAAGATGTAAAGTTGTGCCAGGAGTCTCCAAGAAAACTGCCAGGTACAATGATTCACTGGAAGGACCCATATGACTCTAGATGTTCTTATAATCAATAAAGAAAAAAAGACACATGGAGCAAAGTCATAAAGACACAAGGCTCGAGATTGCAAGGATCCTCTTCCAATGAAGTCATACAGGATGCATGTAATTCTTGTAAAATATTTTCTATCAGGAAAGCTTATTAGAGATTTAGCTGGTCACATACCAAATTTCCAGGCTCCTAGAAGGAAATTGAATTTTCAGCCTGAGCTACATTGTTTGTGTAAACAGTCTTGTCTCAGTGAGCACTTTTATCAGTTCTAAGAACAGTGAGAAAAACTTCCAAAATCCAAGTTCCCAGGTACCACCCAAGGGCCCAACTTGCAAGTAAACCTTTCTAAGAATGACAGTCTCAGGCCTACCATGTCAACTCTTTTCTGCACAATCAGTGACCTAGGTTCAATAAACAACTCAGTGAATCTGGTTTTGAGAATCCTAACAGACAAATGAATGGATTTTGACTACAGAATGGTCTACCTGGATCCTCCACTATATTTCAGAAGACTGCAGGACCAATGTATTTCTTTTGACTAGCAGGGAAAAGGGCCATCTAAATGTCTAGCAGATGTGCTTCAAAATATGGTATCATCCTGTGTGTTTTAATCTCCATGGGGCTCCTAAGATAACTCAAGCCAAAGTGTTGAATCAAATTGCTGCTATGACTTTAAGTTGTCACTTTCTTCTTCTTTTTCACTAGTATGTTTCATTCTCATTGACTCCTTTGCCTGACAAAAGAAAGTTGACCAAATTAGTAAGTTTGTGTAACCAATGACAATAACTGATTACATTTATTGAATACTACAATATGTCACCCTCATATATGTGCCAACTAATTTAATCCTGACATTGCCATGAGTTATATACTGTTATTATCCCAGTTTTACCATAGTAGAAACTAAGGCACAAGAACGTTAAATTCTTGGTGTCATCAGAACCAGTGAGGCATGAGGTAATTCCAAAACCAGCTGGTTTGATTCCACATCCTTCAGTCTTTATCACTATTCTTTACTGATTCTCCCTCATGAAAGATTTTATATAGACTACATCTTCTTTGGTTCTGCCTCTGATGCTTTCAGCTTAATTCACTGAAATCCCTAAGCATTTCTTGCAAAGTAGATGTTTTCAACGAATTGCTTTCATCCTTTATTATCTATAGTTACGTCAAGTCATACCTTCTTCCTGACAAGTCCCGAAACAATAAACGCAAGACCAAAATCAGAACAGGAACCAACCCAGAATTTAATGAAACACTAAAGGTAAATAAATACTCTTATAGCAACACATGTGATATTGGTCAGAACCTCATTCATTTAGAAGTAACTATAATGAAGCTTTTATTTATGTATTGAGACTTGCATATGTTTTGAAAATTGGAATTTGAGTTAAGATAATACTCCTGGCCTTCCTCATAGTTTTTGGAACAGAAAAAATGCAAAATGCTTACTTTGTTATGCTGCTGCTGCTGCTTAAATTGTACTTTAAGTAGAAATGATCCAGCAAAATTGTATCCAAACTGTTAAATCTTTGTCACACAGCATGTTTCACCCTTAGGCAAACTGTGCTTTATTCAGATTCATTTAAGCAAAGTTTGTCAGAATTTTGACACAAATTTAATAAGTCACTTTGTATACAATCATTATTTTGCTTATACAGCACAGATATGTGCTGTTTCTTGCCGTTATTTCAGAATTCTACTAAATTTAGGGATGAGAGTAATAAAGAGTGGAGATTCAAGGTCAAATTTGAGAAATCTCAGAGAAAGTGGCCTAGATAACACATGACCAAGGCTAAAGAAATTTTTGCTTCTAATAATCTCCCGTGTTATAATTCCTTCTCCCATCTTGGACCAATCAGGCCTAGTAAGAAACACCCAGAGAGAATGAAATGTAGAAATTATTGCCAGTCCCGGGAAATTGATGGACTTGTGCCTGGAGTGATGAAGTCAGAGTCCAGCATAGAAGAAAGCTGATGATGACAGAAGCCATGAGCTTACGTGGTTCAGGGGAGGCACTGTGGAAGCATGAGCCATTATCCAGACAGGGCAAACACAAAATGAATAAATACAGGTAGAGGCTGAATCCAGTAACCATATCAGAATAGACAACAAAGATATGCCCAAGCAGGAGAGATAAACATGGTGATGGAAGCAGGGAGCCAAGATTAATCATGATAGAACAAAAAAGATAGGAACACACGCAGACCCAAGATCAAAATTCAGCCTGAAGTATGACCCAGAGGATGGGTGTAAAGAAGCAGCAGAAAGTTAGAAGGCATGTAGGCTGTGGCCCTGGGGAACGGCCTCCTGAAAAAGGAAAATATAACCCAGTAATGCCCTCTTTCTGCTCAGTCTGTGTATGTCTTGTCACTTCTGCAATGAGTCCAGGCTTTATAAAGTTTAGTGTCCACAAGTTTGTCATTGTCAATACTTTTCAGGACTTAGAGAGTTTGATGTAAATAAATAAGATATAATTTGGAGAATTGATATAGTTATCTTTAAGCTACCAAGGTGATATGAATGAAAAAACAAGCAAATAAAAAGAAGGCAAAGCTACAAAGAGGATAAGCTTCATCACCTGACACTTTTTATACCATATCTGGAGTTTATTACTCTTCAAAATAATTTGTTTATATATCTTTCATCACTACATCTGGCATAAAATTAGTTTATGAAACAGTGCCTCAATTGTAGCAGAAGCAAACTAGTTTTATTTGTGTTTGTTTCATATTCCTGATACCTATGATCTGAAAGATGGTGGCAGCTAATTTCAATTTGTTCTGGAATTGGACAGAACTTTTTTTTTTTTTGTACTGAGGATTGAACTCGGGTCCTTGCACTTGTGAGGCAAGTGGTGGAACCACTGAGCTAAATCCCCAGCCCTAGAGCCTTTCTTAAGGAATGTGATATTGTAAATTTTGTTTGCAGTATACCATCAGCCATACTCAGCTGGAAACAAGGACTCTTCAGCTCTCAGTCTGGCACTATGATCGGTTTGGACGTAACAGCTTCCTCGGCGAGGTGGAGATTCCTTTTGACTCATGGAACTTTGAAAATCCATGTGATGAATGGTTTGTGCTTCAGCCCAAGGTAGGACACACTTCTAGACTAGTCAAATAGTTCAGCATTCAGGAAATACTAGCAAAATTGATGTCACATGCCTGAAGAATCTGAAGGTTTCCAAAGTGGAGCAAATTTTGGAATATTATAGTAAATGTTAATCCATAGTTTTCGAAATTTCATGGGAGCAAATTGCCATATAATCATATGTATTATTAATTTTATTACTAAAGTATATTCATCATTTGAAGTTCTCTGTGAATAATTGAAAGAGCCACATTATATGATCCTATTAGAATGAGAATGCCCTCATTTGCATATAGGCAAAAGAAATACGAAAGGCATGAACAGTTTCAAAACAGTCTGTTTCTCATTATCTACAATTTAGACCATAAGCAGGGATGGTATTGCCTGGGCTCACATGAGGAGAGCTACCAGCAGCCACAGTATCTGATTTCCTACATTCCCTAATTCCTACTTTTGTGATTCATAACACAGGACTTGAGTTCTAGTCAGAAAAATCAGAGAGCTGATTCTATAAATTAAGAGCCATTGTAGTATGGGATGTTTCAATCTGTACCATCAGTGCATTGGATTCACTGCAGGCAACTGGAATCTTTCTAGATTTCAAGCAATTGTTAAGTTGAAAGGAAGGTAGGAGATATAATCTGGAGAATTGATATAGTTAACTTTAAGCCATATATATGTGTATGTGTGTGTGTGTGTGTGTGTGTGTGTGTATGCTACCAAAGGTTGTTCATTATATACAGGAAAGTAAAACAACATTACGCTAAAGATGGTGGATTCATATCACTTAACTTGGCTCATTCCTGGCTTCATGACTTCTTATGTTATGTAACCTTGGACAAATTATTTAATTGCCTGAGCATTGATGTTACCACTTGTAATACACAGAGGCAGCTTGTAGGGCTACTGTGAAGCTTGGATAAGCATGCTAGGTAAGGCTGCCAGCATTCTATCAGGTACATCATAGGCTATCAATAAATACTAGGTGATACTCATATTATTTAGGAGTCCTTGCATTACAACAGACAGAAACCCCCGGTCCTACTGATCAAAAAGCAAGGAAAGAGTATCGGCTAGTGGTAATGAAGCATAGCTTGATACAAATGTTCAGATCTTATCAAGGTCTTGGAATTTCTTGTTTCTCTTTCTTTTATTGCCTTTATATTCAGTTTCCAAATACCCTTAGAAACTAGGTCTCACTAGCCCTAAGCATGCTTCTCTTGATATCTAAGGCTTACAGTGGCTAAAGAGCTCTCATCCTTGCATTACACTGTCCAGAAGAAGAAAAAGTTCCTCTTCCTCCAACAATACCTTGGGCTTTGGGAAAACAAGAATTCTAATTACATTATTCCCCCATCCCCATCCTGAGCTAAAGACTGTGGTCTGAGAAGTAAAATGCATTGGCTGACTTAAGACAATCTGAACTTGTCCTGGTCTAAAGATGAGATTGCCCCAAAAGAAATCCAGGTCTAATGAGACGCAAGACCTGTCATGTAAAGGTACAAGATCCCAATGGTGAATGTAACTGTACTCTACTGTATACCTAAAATGTACCAATAAACTCAATGAGAAAAAAAAGAAAAAAGAAATCCAGGTCTAGTAGCACAAAGGGAAAACTGAAGAGTACTAGACAGTAAAAAAAAAAATCATGCCATATCATCACCAAAAATAGCAGTTTTCTCATTTAATGATTGTAACAACCCTGTTGGGTCAGTATCATTATCCCCATTTTATAGATGAGGAGACTGAGGCTCAGAAGTTAAATAGAACTTAATGATGGGATTTGTAATTGTTGACTGGAAACTTGCCATAAATAATTCATAGAAAACTTTTAGGATATATATTTGAACTGCAGATAAAATTGAAATAAAACACAGTTTCTTACCAATAAGATAACACTAGGCCCATGACAGACATGAATATGATAAAGAGGGGACATACATTATTAATAGCAAATGAGTCCACAATAGCATAATATTCCCCTGATATTAAATGTAGAAAATACTTTGTCATTCAACATTAAGTATCTTGGAATTGAATAAAAACCTCAGCATGAAAGGTAGCACTGATAGAACATAGCAGTCTCCTATCAGTTGCATCATTTTGTATCTTATGAATGAGTATAATTATTAAAAATGTCTAAGACATCATATTGTGCATAACCCAGACAAAAGACAATTAGCATGCACCTTAGTGTGTGAAATTAATTCATCTGTCATGAATTTAATAATAAAGCACATAGGAGCTCTTTGAAAATCAATTTGTGAGAGAAAAGAAGCATCCTTCAGGCATCTTTCTGGAAATGGCAGAAGGACTTCACCGAGATGATATTTAAGCTCTCCCAGAGGCCTTTTGCAGGCACCTTTTGTGCTTAGAGACCACAGTAATCACTTCCAGGTTGCCATTGAGTGGTTCCCTTTCTATTAGAAGTGGAAAGCATCTCTGGGTCTCCCTGAGCCCACTGGAGGTAACAGTTGTAATGCTGTGTACTGTCTGTGGGACATCATACATCCTCAGCCAGATCCCCAGGCATTCCTAACTATTCCAGGAGATTTGTTTCAACAACCTGTACCTGCAGCTCTCTTTCAAAGTCTAGCCTCAGGCTACTGTGGCTTTCTGCCTACCAGAGCAGATAAATAGAAGTTCTTAAGGATTTATGTTCCACTTCCATGAGGCAATCCTTAGTCGATAAGCAACAGGCAGGAAAGTATGAAAGCCCACTTCCATTTCTGAGAGGGAAAAAAATTCTACAGTGTTACTTATCCTCCAAAGCATCCCTGACACATTGGACTGGAGCTACCTTCCATGTTGTCTAAGATTGTAATCATATCTGCCCCACTTTCTCCACCCATTTACTGGTCTTTATGGGTGACACTTCATTTTTCTCTTTTTTTTTAATTGAGTTTATTGGTACATTTTAGGGATACAGTACAGTTACATTCATTGTTGGGATCCTATACCTTTACATGACAGGTCCTGGTTCTCATTTTTCCCCCTTATCCCTGCCTTCCCTTTACCCCTTCCTCCCTTCCCTACTTACAAACACTTTATTTCCATCTTTTCGTTTTCTCACATTTTTTCTTTTCCCTTATTACCCTTCCCCTACCCATCCCACCTTCCCTACACCTTTAGCCCTTTCCTTCCCATTTCACAATGTCAGTTATCTCATTAGGATCTTATGTACTATTGTAGTTTTTCACACCAGAGAAACTATTCGGTATTTACACATGTGTGACTTATTCATTTCACTTAGGAGTATAAATCACTTGCATAATAATCTTCACCTCAGAATCTGCTGAATGCACCATGGAGAATCCAGCAGAAGTTAGTATCCCTAATTCATATCATCATCCTCTGCAAAGCTTTCTCTGACATATAAAGGAAAAGCTAAAGACTCAAACTTTTACTTACATACCATACCATACAAAACCAAGACAGGTGCCAAGGCATGATATGTATGCTGAGCCACCTTTCTTTCACTGTGACAAAATACCTGAGGTAACTTAAAAAGAAGATTCATTTTGGCTCACAGTTTCAGTCCATGATCAACTGGCCCTGTTGCCTTGGACCTATGGAAAGGCAATGCACTATTATGTAAGCAGATGGCAGGGGAAAGCTATTCTCGTGGTGGCTAGGAAGCAAAAACAGATATGAAGGGCTGAGGTCCCAATATGCCCTCTGAGGGCATGCCTTTGATGACCTAACTTCTCCCCACTGATCCAACTTCTTAAAAGTTTCACTACTACTTGATAACACCACAAGCTGCCAATCAAACTTTCAACACATGCGTCTTTGGGAGACATTTCATATCCAAAAGAAAGCAGCTGAGCTTCAGTGGTTAATTATCAGCCAGTTATGTGAAGTGTCACTTCATTGTGAGTCTTCTCAGTAATTTCAGTGCAATAGGCACTCCATCGGCTTCAAATGTAGTAGAGTAGCCCTAGAGACTTGATGTTTCTGGCAGATTATCCAGCTGAGAAGTTGAAGTGGGAGCTACAGGGGCTGATTTCCCTAGTAATAAAGGATCAGAATTAGTAGTCCTTAAACATTCGGAAATACTGACACCCTTTGACACTAGGATTGGCAGAATGACACGCTGCCTTATTGCTTATTGACTCTGTTACAGAAAGTCCCTTGGCACCTATCCTTGTTTGTTAGGTCTTACAGCAGAAGCCAGTGAGAAAGCTGGTACAGACAGAAAAAGAACTCCAGATGTAAAAAAAAAATCTTGATATGTCAAATTTGAATGCTGAAAAGTAGCTTCACAATATAACTTCCATTTTATTATGACACAGGACTATTTATTAGGTATAACTCATTATCTGCCTGAAAGGGAAATTAGGTCCTTACAAAAGAACTGTTTGTCACTAAGAATTGCCTTTCAAGCCTTCCCAGGAGCTGCTATTATAAAAACAAGGACCTCTGAAAATCAACAGCAAGCGTAAGTGGTTTTCCAAGGAAACATTCTCTTATTGTGACTTCAAGCAGAGATTAAATGAAGCTCCTGTGGAATTATTGCCTGGCTAAAAGGCTCCCTGTATACTTGGCAGTTTAGGCACAATCTTATCTGAGGAGATTGGGTGCATTCAGGGTGGTCTGGCCATAGACAAGCATACTCATATCTGCAATTTATCATCCCACCCGTGAAGGTATTATCTGTTACTTGATCTGGTGCAAAGTCTATATCTATTTGCAAGAATCAGAAGATAGTGAATGTCATCTGATTATTTCACATTCCTGTTCAGATAGTCTCAATAGTTTCCTCTTGCTTTTGCACATGGTTGAATCAATGTTGTCCCTCACCTGGGCACTCAGTTCTCTCTTGATATTGCCCAGCCTTCTGTTGCAGCCCGGGATATCTGTAGTCTACTCATATCCCCACTTTCAGGCAAATGCACCTCTCCATAGCTTTAAAACTCTCCAGTGAACACATGCCAGTCTTTGTAGGAGGGAGGCCTCAGGCTACTGGAATGGGCTTGGTCTGTGGGCATGGAAAACCAGAAAAGCCAGGGAAGGGGTTAAATTCCTGCAGATTGAGAGCAGAGCCTTTGATCGATGGCTGATGGTAAAGGACCATAAACACTTCCACCTCTTTGCTTCTTGCATGAGTTCCTTTTCTTATTGTTGAGACAAAATACCCACTGCTTAAAGTTAAAGGGGGAGAGGTTTCTTTCGCTCACAGTTTGTAGAGGTTTCCGTCCATAATTGTCTGGCTCCAAGACAAGGTGGCACATGGCACACAAGCATTACAGAGAGGAAATAGTTCATGGTGAGCAGAAAAGTAGCAAAGCGAGCAAGGGATCTTATTAGCTTCTTTCTGCCTCTTGTATACTCTGTCTAGGCTACTGGGATTAGGGTGGTGCGAAGCCAATCAGTGGACTGATTTAGTAATCACACACCCTTAATCCTAGCATCACATACTCTAGATCCAGTCACTGGGTGGAATTAAAGCAGTTAACACTCAGAATAGAGCACAGACCCACAAGAAAGAGATCATTGTGATCTGGGGCTGGAGGGTTTTATGCAGTCTTGGGGGTGTCTTTCAGATGGGTGACCTAGAATGTATTCTCCTGCTGCCTGTCAGGCTGCACATTTGTTTGGCTGGGTTGAAATGCAAACCATTTGCTTGTGTTTGAAGTTTAGAGATGTGCTACTCGTTTAGTGTTGCTACCTTGAGTGTAGGCCTATAGGAAGAAGAGTAATTTACACATGGAAAAATGAGCCAAATTTGCAGGCTGTTTGTATCTTCAAGACCCTTAGAAATTTTTTGGAGAAAGTTGCCTGATAAAGAAAAAGGCACTGTAAATTTGGATAATTTTTATGTCCTGAAGCTGAGGTTTTCTTAAAAGTACATTTAAAAAATTAATTTTATTGGTACATTTTAGGTATACAGTATAATGACATTTGTCACTGGAAATTTGTACCTTTACATAATCTATCTCGTTTCTTATTTTTTCCGCATTCCCCTGCCCTCCCTTCAACCCCTCCACCCCTCCCTACTTACAAAGACTCTGTTTCCATTTTCTCATATGAATTCCATTCCCTTTTTTCCTTTCCCCTACCCAATCCCTCCCACTTCCCCTTCCCCTTTGGACCTTTTCTTCCTATTTTGCATTATCTATTATGCCTTTTGGTCTCTATTTACACTTTCAGTTTCTCACACTAGAGAAACTATTCAGTATTTACACATGTATGTTCTATTTATTTCACTTAAGAGTATTGCCTCAATGTGCATCCATTCAGCTATAAATGTCTCTAATTTATCATTCTTTATGGCTGAGTAGTACTCCACTTTATTTTTTAAAAAACACATTTTCTTTATGCAGTCTCCAGTTGATGGGCAATTCAGCTGTTTTCAAGTTTAATCTCTTACATACTGAGCTGCTATGAACATGGGTGCATATAAATCACAATTTTAAAATTAGAGCTTTCCTTGTATCCTATTATTTTTATTTCTTCTATACTGCCACAATAGCTCACTGTGGTTTAATGTGAGTTTCCCTGATTAATGATTTTGCACATTTTTTGTAAACATTTTGACCATTTTTGCATGCCTTCTTCTGAGAAATACCTATTAAATTATTTTACCTATTTTTAATCAGGTTATTTCTTTTATTATTGAGTTATTTGAGCTCCCTATGTATGATACAGGAAATAATACCAGAGATTAAATATGAAATATTATCATCTCCCAACCTGTTAGCTGTCTGATGCTCCAAGCTCCTGTTCTCTAAAAATGAAAGAATAAATTCTAGAAAAAATAAAGAGTAAGAGTAGGGTAGGAAGATATTTATTAATAGAATAGCTTCTGAGGGGTCAAGAATGGGTAGCCAAGGACCTCACTCTATAGGGAAGTTCTGTAGAGTGAAACCCACATGGGTACAACGTGAACCACAGCCATGATCAACCAATAAGGTTACAAGTATAGTCATTTAACAAGCATGGATGGTTTGTCTTGATTTTTTTGTATATGGTGTGAAATAGGGTCCATTTCATTCTTCTGCAGGTGGATATCCAATCTTCCCAACACTATTTTTTGAAAAGACTTTCCTTACCCCATTTTGTGTATTTTGGGTACTTTGGTGAAAAACACTTGATCATAAATACATATATTTATTTCTGGGCTTTTTGTTATGGCTCATTTGTGTATGTCTTTTTTTAATGCCAGTATCATACTATTTTGAATATTTTAGCTTTCCAATGCATTTCTTAAACATGTATTTTAACTTAAAACAAATGATTATATATTCATGTGCAAATCTTCTCACATAAAGACAACTTTGTTTGAACATGGGTTCAGTAATTAAAATTCTGACATCTTTCTGGCATTAATTCTATTCCTAATCCATCCTCATAGTTTCTAGCATGAGTATTTCTAAGATGAAACAAGGATTGTTAAAATACTTCAAATGTACAAGTATTTTTAGTATTTTTTACTAGTAAGTTTTACCATAAACAATAGGAATGAAAGTTAGGCAGTCAGGCAAGCATTTTTTTTTTCTTTATCATGATCCCAGATGTGTGTGTGTGTGTGTGTGTTCTGATCCTTTAACAGCCTGTGGCTTTGATGTGAAAGAGCTGGGTTTTTGAACTCTTGTCTTCCCGCTCTCTAAGCAAAGCAGTTCTCTGCCTTTGACTCAATTCACAGGAGTTAAGTCTCTCAGGGAAATGCCCAAGGAAGTACCCTACCTTTTCTATTCCACCTGTACAAAATCAAAGTTCAGTTGACTCAGTGGCAAGAGGGAGACTTATAGGACAGATGTTCTGGATATATGTGAACATTGACTTGTAAATTTTGAACTTTTTAATTGTTGGATCATATTAACTCTGCACACAGTTATAAAAGATAATACAAAGAGGTCCCATGTTCTCAATATTACAAAGCTAGTTTGACATCACTACTAAGATACTGACATTGATATGATCCACCAATTTTATTTAGATTTCCCAGTTTTACTGGTACTTATTTGTGAGTGTGTGAAAAAGTGGTATGTATATTTAGTTTTATGTGATTTTCTGATGTGTGTGGGTTTGTGCATTTACCACCATAGTCAAGATACAGGGGAGTTTCATCACCACATATATCCCACAGGTTGACTTGCTTAACCACAACCGGCTGACTCCCACTGCTCCCATCCCTAACCCTTGGCAACCACTAACCTGTTCTCCATCTCTGCAATTTTGTCACTTCAAGAATGTTATATAAATTAAACCCATTGGGCTGGCTTTCTTGACTACAAATAATTCTCTAGAGATTCATCCAAGGTGTTGTGTGTGTCAACAGACTTTTGCTTTTCTTTGCTGCTTAGTAGTTCATGGTATGGATGTACCATAGTTTGTTTAACAATTCACTTGTTAAAGTACATTTAGGTTGTTTCTGGTATTTTTGCTATCACAAATAAAGCTCATATGAACATTATAGTAGTATCCAAATTTTATGTGGACGCAATTTTTTATTTATCTAGAATAAATGCCCAAGTATAAATGATGGGGTTTTTGATAGCTGCATGTTTAATCTTATAAGAAGACTGTTTGCCAGAGTGGCTGCACCATTTTATATCCTCACAGACAATGTTCAAGTGAACTGTTTTTTCCATATGAATTTTGATGCAAATTATCAATATTACTTTCAATGACTTGTGGCTAGAAGCCCATTGTGGATCATATACAACTCCCTACTTTTCCCTTCTTGGTCACTAAGGAAAACATTGAGACATCAAATAGGGAGAAGTGACTTCTCAGACTATTTTCAGTGGCATCATTATTCCTGCCTCATGCCCTGTAGTATATCTGAATCAGTCTTCAGACTGACACTCAGTATCAGTTGATGGAGAAAGTACATGTTATATATGTCTTTCAGATTCCTCTTCTTTTCATGTTGAAAGTTATATGCAAATGCCTTAGTAGAGTTTTCCCACCTTTCTTTTTCTCAGGCCAGTTATCTCAGACCAGTAAGAAATAACATAGTTGGAATGGCAATGGATAATCACATTTAAGCCACCAAATAAATAATATTTTATAACCCATGTTTGAATGTGCATTAAGTCAGGCAAGCATTCTTACCCTCTCTTTTCATGTGTCTCTTCTTGGTTAGGTGGAATTTGCTCCGGATATTGGCCTTCAGTACAAAGGAGAGCTGACTGTTATTTTACGATACATTCCCCCAGGGGAAAGCGTCATGCTTCCACTAGGACAACTTCAAGGTACAGTAAAACTCCATGACATTGATCAGTGACACTGTATTTCTAAGAGTATGGGTGTAGCTATTAGGGATTGGTCAGACTAAATGTTACTTTTGCACTAAACAGATGAAATATAGAGGATTAGGAGTCACTGTCTTGAGGAGAGTTGAAAAATATACACTGCATAGATAGAAGGATGTGGGGTTCATGCAAGGAAAAGAAGGCAAGAGTTCATGCCTTAGAAATCAGTGTTGCTGCTAAGGTTTCTTACCTGTCAGTCCCAGAGATATAAGATCTTCCACAGGTGGGAGATCTTCTGGGAGGGTGTGCAGAAAGCTGCTGTAATGGATGTATGTCCTTTACAGCTAGTAAAGGAGTCTTGAGGAAAAGCTTATGTAGAAGATAGAATTTTTTAAAAAATCCAGGTGGAGTCTGTAAATCTCTTGCCCTTCCCCTTCCATCCTCTCCTCCAGGCAGCCTCTTTTATTCCCCCATTATGATCACTATCTTTGGTGTGCAAGTTACTTACGCTCACCTGGTCTCAGTTTACTCACTCCACTTGTGAGGATTAAATAGGTTCATGCACATAAGATGCCTCATAAAGTACTAAGCAAAGGCAGTGGTTGTGACTCTTGTTGATCATATTTCATCAAAATAACAGGCTGAGATAGGAAAGAGTTTTCTCTCACTTCCAGTACTCACCCTGGGTGAAGTTGACAATTTACAAGACAGGCGTTATGGAATTCTCTCTTCAGAATCAGTTCAAAATATCAAAGAGGAGAATTATGGAATTTTCTCTTTTGGAGCCTTGATGCTTATGTCTGGCTTTCATCATAGCTCATTCTCACTAAGAGCAGGAATGATGACCCAGGCATATTTCAGGGTCTTTTCCATTATGTTCCTTTAGGTCCTGTGAAAGACATAAAGAAGTGGCTAGAAATTTAAATTTATTTGCCCATTTTTGTCAACAAACACACATGAAAAACCTATCCAGTGGGGGTAAAAACAGCTAAATGAATATGAAATATATAATGATGTAAAGGTGTGATTCAATCTCCAAATGAAGTAAGTCTTTGCAGATGTTCCCTGTAAAATTCAAAGTACAAATCATGATATAAATGTTCTCTCTCTCTCTCTCTCTCTCTCTCTCCTCCCCCTCTTGGTGGCCGATGCAGGAAAGAAAGCCTCCAAAAAGGGAAAGAAAAAAGAGTCATCTGTAATCTCTGGAGGAATACTAGAAGTGTTCATCAAAGAAGCAAAGAATTTGACAGCAGTGAAATCAGGAGGCACTTCTGACAGTTTTGTGAAGGGGTAATTTGATTGTAGCTCATCTTAGATGATGCTTATTAGGAGATGAAAGCATCTGTGATCTATGAGACAGTGATGGCTATGAGGCCTACATGTTCAGCTTATTGGAAAAGTACCAGGAAAGAGTTACCCTTCAGTGCTGATACTTATATCTCGAGCAATACTGGCATAGAGGAAACTGCTTATTCCAGTTTATACTGCATTCCTAGCACTCTCAACCTCAAGACTGCCAGATTTTCCTGTGAGATTCATTTCTCAAAGGAGGAGAAAATATTATTTTATACATGTAATGTACTTGCATTATGCTTTTCTATCATTCAGTTCTGCCAACACAGAAAGACAACCAAAATGTCAGATACTTGCAGTTTTGCTCTCTTGAGGGAAACTAAAGAAGTAGAGAAATAACACTTATCTTGGAGATACTCACTAGAGAATGCTTTGCGGAGGTTCTAGGGCTCCCCACTGGGCATTTTTTCCCACTTTGTGGAAGCCCTTTAAATGGATAATCATGCTCAATTTAGGCAACCTCAAAACCAAATCCCTCTTGACTTCTGACTATTGGAGATTTTCTCCTGGAATTAGGAAAACTGGGAATGGACAGATATTTTTCATTAATTCAAACAAACAGACGAGTACATACATACCAAGCATCAGGGGCTGTGCTTTTGAAACTAAATAAGGCAAAATACTGGAGCTCACAGAGTACCATTCAGCACATAAGGTTAAGCAAGTTCCCATGATGCCAGGCCAGTAAGTGAATTTTCCAGTCAATTTGTTACCAAGTTTTGAGTGTGCTAGAGTCTGCTTCTGGAGGTAGATTCTCTCTACTATGAGTAAAGAAGTGGTCACAACAAGCACAAAAGATAGTGAGGTTTCACACTTATTAAAAGTAGGAAAATAAGCATGCTCTGAAGAGTAAGTTTGGGCAAAGAAAAAGTAAGAAAAGAGGTATATTCTACAGAACGAGAACATGCTATACGAAAGAACACAGCAGCTGAAATCAACGGGGACTATCTTTTAGTATCTTCCACACCTCAGGCTGATGTCAGCTCTAGGCCTTCCTATTGAAGTTGTCAAAAGAAGTCCATATGCAGGGCTTTGGGAACTCTTCTTTGCATGGGTCCTGGAACTTTGCAATTCACAGGTCACACCCGCTTTCCCAGCCAGCCTGCCACAGTTTAATCTCCTCCTCAAATTGACAGTTACTTCCTTTCCTCAAGCCATCTTAGAAAAGTGTACTTTTCTTACAAGGAAACAAGCTATGCCTCCTCTCTCTCTCCTCTCTCTCTCTCTCCTTCCTCTCTCTCTCTCTCTCTCTCTCTCTGATACTTCAACTTTGGTAAACGCAACTGAGAGAAGCAGATGTCTAGGGCATCCCCATTGGTAAATATGTGTCCCTGAATTCTGGTCTATCTGATCTTCATTTTTTTCTGGCAGTAGATTTTAGAAGAGAAGAAATGCTTTCTTTGGACCTTGTTATTTCTATGTGCCTCAGCAGCCCTGCCTTCCACTTCAAGCCTCTGCTGCTATCACATAGATAGGAGGATGGCTTCTGGCCTGTGGCCTCACTATGGTGACTCGGTATTTTCTGAAATGGTTTTGTCTTTGTCTTACTGAGAATTTATGAGACACAAATAAGAAAGGACAGTATCTTTGTCCTAGTTTTTTAAAAAAACCAAATTTTCTAATAAACGCTCTCCTTAGTTACACTTAAATATTCAGCTGACTTTAAAGGATCTGAGATCTTTTTTTAAAGAGAGCGGGAGAGCAACAATAGACCTATATGAAGAGCTTAATACAAACTATACAAAATACATAATTGTATAGCCACCTAATTGCATTACCCCTGTCTATAAGCTAAAACAACAGTGGCTTCAAACGACTAAAGCTTTTATTGTTCTCAGCTCAGGGTTGACCCCAGGGCTTTCACATTGTGCTATATATCTCCAACCACTTTTTATGTTTTTATTTTGAGAAAGGGTCTTGCCAAGTCACTAACTTGCCCAAGCTGGGCTTTAATTTATGACCCTCCTTCTTTAGCCTGCCACCTTTTTTTCTATCTCTTACATGTAAACAAAGATTCAGGGTAACATATCCAAGGCAGTTATGGAAGCATCATGATTATCAGAAACAAAGGTTTCTCTCTATCTCATTATGGTATCTACCTCAAGGGCCAGGATAGCTGCTTACATTTCAGCTATCCCACCCAAATTACAGCTGGTAGGGTAGTTTTGTATAAATTTTATGCAGAACTACTATTCCACTGACCACAACTAGTTGTAAGGAAAGCCAGGTTAAGGTAGTTTTTATTTTGAGCAACCTTGTGCCCAAATTTTTAAAATAGGGATTTTGTAATGAGAGAAATAAGCAAAAATAGATATTGGGAGATTACAAGCATTTGTGCCTGCATGGTGCATGACATGAAATCTCATATAGCCTAATGTATCTTCTTCATTGTAAAGTCATTTGCTTACAGTATTTTTCACTATTGTCTGATATTCTAATTTCATACACATATTTGTCTCCTTCTCTAAAGCTTGCACCTTGCAGGGGTAAAAGGTAGTATTCATCATGTACCTATCAACTTTTACAGTGCTTTGGCCATGGCAGAGAAGGCCAGGGGTACAGATATTTTATTTGAAAGTGGATCAGGAAATACCAGTGAGAGAACAGAAAAGAGATAAGGCAGGGAAAGAAGATGATAAAAATAGATATTTATATGGGGCCAGGGGTTTAGCTCAGTGGCACCACACCCACCTCACAAGCACAAGATCCTGAGTTCGATCCCTGGTACTGCAAAAAATAGTTACCAGTGTGGGTAGCTAGGCATTATTCCCACTTGGGAGGCCATGAAGAACTCTGTGGAATATTCCTTATGAAGAGAAGCTGAAATATTCATCCACCAATTTCCAAAACTCATGGTTGAGGGTTACCATTAAATCTTCAGTTATTCAAAGGTACTCTGTGCAAAAGCTAAGCCAACTCAAACAGGATGAGAGAAAAGTCTTCAATTGGAGTAGTTGAGATGCATGGGTACTTGAGATGGAAAGCGGAAAGTGTACCAGAACTGTCCATACTGGCTGCAGGTCACCTCAGAAATGGCCCAAGACGATATATAGCAGGGCATTCAGCAATATCTACCACAGGAGGTATTTTCTTTTTCAATATGGAAGAAGGACTAAAATGGAATTAGAAAGGAGAAACAGGACATTTTACTATTACACCACTTAAAAGAAACAATAAGTCACCCCACAAAGTAAATCCTTATTTAAATGTACAAGAATCTGGGAAATAAAATCAATTGGACATTTCATACTTGCACACACATATACACATCCATGAACACATGTGCACACCTACCAGGAATTATGAGAAATTCAAATGATTTCTGAAGAACAGCATTTTCTGCCTAATGTCTCACTGATGGTTTGATTGTGTTTTCTCCTGCAGCTATCTGCTCCCTGATGATAGCAAAGCCACCAAGCACAAAACGGCAGTCATAAAAAAGTGTGTGAATCCTCAGTGGAATCATACTTTCGAGTTCAGTGGCCTGTATCCCCAAGATATAAACAATGTTTGTCTAGAGCTTACCATCTGGGACAAGGAGGCCTTTTCCAGCAATATCTTTCTAGGAGGAGTTCGTTTGAATTGTGGAAGTGGTAAGAAACTTAAGAGACCTTGAGATGGTCCGTGACTGAGCATGGGGCAAGGGCGTGTTTCCTTCAGATATCAAGTGTAGTAAATGTCTACGTCATCTACTGCTATAACTAATTCTTGAAATCACCACAATCACTCCTTTCTCTTACCTAAAGATCTGTTCATTGTTAAAATATAAATATTGCTACCATAACTGTCTATCTTTATACTAGAAACTTCAGAAATATAGTTTCTATTCTATCCTTTCACCTCCCAAAATTATACTTGAAGTATAAGTCTAAGTGAATTTCAAGTACTTTCTTGAGCCTTCAAGTTTTGGTCAGAAAAAGATCACCAAGACAGAATAGCCTTCTGATAGGAGAGAGAGGCTTTCCAAGATTAACTTTACCTCATTATTTTCTCAGTTCTGTTCAGCACTTACAGCCATTATTCACACTGGTTGAATTGAAAGGGAATCAATTTTTTCTTCAAAAAAAAAAAAACAGCACCTAATGTTTTTCACAAAATTATGGAAACACACCATTGGTAATAAAAGTCACAGCTATAACAGGGTAAATGTGCGGCTCAAATATTTGAGCCCATGAGAACTAGCAGAGGCACAGGCAGTCCACTAAACACTCCTTGTCTCATTGCTTAGGCCAGACCTAGATGGTCTGGATGTACCATGGTCAGCATTTGTGTTGAGAAAGACATATCACTATGATGCTTTATCTATTTATAGATTAAGGAAAGCTAAGAATATTTATTCCACTAAAACTAAAATTTCCAAGGTCAGAAAAGTGGCCATATTAGAGATCCTCAGATCCAATGTCATCCTATTTTTCTGTCATATTATCTTGATCCTGATGATCTAGCTCTCTGTTGTACTACCAAAGTGGAGAGGAATTAGCTACCCCTTTGTCTCACATTCTGTAGGTAGAAGAAAGTAGTACAGGCTGCAAAAGATTGATTCCAGTCCAATATCTAGTAGATATGGGAAGTGAGAACAAGCCAGTGAAGAGAACTCTGGTTAACAGGCTCCCTCAAAAATTGATAGATGCCTTCCAAAAAGTCAAAACATCTCATTTGTGAAAGGTACTGCTCCTCTTTCCCTTCTTCAGGTGTGAGTCATGGGAAAAACGTGAACTGGATGGACGCTCAGGGGGAAGAGCAGAGCCTGTGGCAGAAGATGGCCGAAAACCCTGGATCGCCCGTAGAGGGAGTACTTATGCTCCGTTCCAGCATGGGGAAGTGTACTCTCTGAAGAGACAAGTTCTTCAAGAATGAGACTCTAGGAACTGTCTGGTTGCCATTCCTGACAAATAGCAGGCAGGGACTTTGGATTCTGCTTCCCTGCCAGTTTTCACCCGAGGAGACTGGGACATCAGGGGCAAGAAAGGGGATAGTGGTGTGAACATTTAGGGTCATCATGCTGGGTTCCTGAAAACATCAAGTACTTTTACTTTTTGAGTGTGATAATGCACAGCTATAATGCCAGGACTCTGGGAGGCTGAGGCAAGAAGACTGAGTTTGAGTCCAGCCGGAGCTATTTAGTGTCTTAACGAGACCCTGTCTCAAAATAAAAAGATAAAAAGGACTAGATATGCAGATCTGTGCATGGGTCCTGAGTTCAGTCCCCCATATCCTCCAACCAAACAAAAAAGTACCTCTCTGTGTCTATGGACAATAGAAAGTGGCTCACAATGTCCTGTCAACAAAATTGGGCAACAATTCATAGCGTTTATATAATCTCAGAAATAGCTCAAGCTTATTCGAAGCTATGGTTGAGATTTAGGAGTGCCCAACTTTTATTTAATTATAAGTTCATTGATGTTTCTTCAAGCGGTGAGAGGAAGAAGGAGACCACCAAGAAAGTAGAAATTCCTGTGGTCCAAAGGCATGATAAGGATGGTTGATGGAGTGACAGGCTGGTCCTGTCGCAAACTTGGGGATTGACCAGATAATGCTCTAAGATAGACTGACAGTGCTTCTTATTAGTTCCATGTAATTTATTATCTAAATCAGCCTACTTTTGAGAGTGAAAGGAGCTAAAAAATTACTTCTGAACAGTGATATAAACTAGCAGTGATCTAAGAAAATTGGGATATAGGGTCATCCTACTGAGAGAACTCCGTTGTAAACATTTATTTTATAAAATATTCTAAGTCATTAACTATAAAATGATAAAAAAATTATGGTCAACATATTGTTCATTGATGAGACCAATGGGA